GGAATCACAGCGGGTAATATTTGGTTTTAATTCGGTTTTTATCGGGGTTTATTTTTGTATTTTTTGTATTTCTGTATTTTATTTTTTGTATTTTGTATTTTGTGTATATTATTTGTTTTTAATATGCTGTGAACCGCCCTGAGTCCTACGGGAGTAGGGCGGTATACAAATTAAATTATCAATCAATCAATCAATCAGTAATGCTTATGACAGAATAATAAAAAGTTAACAAGAACTTTAGAAATTATGGTTTTAAATAGTTATACCTTGTGCTTTTGACTGTCACTATGATTATGCATCACACTAAAATGATTTTATCAATCCAAATAATCTCTACTCCGAGAATAGTACAATAATTTGATTATTTTGGTCAAAGTCTGCAATGATCACTTACAGAATCTTCTGCAGCTAGGTTGAAAGCCACATGTTTATTTCTCGCTTATTTAAAGGCAGAAGATTGTGACAGTCTTTTGAAACATATATTTGGGATACTGCAAAACTATGGGAATAACTATGCACTTGCTTACCTGCTTAATCCCAAGTCCTTTTTCATGCATGTATCCTAGGTTGAACATGGCTTGGGCACTGTGCTGTTGCTCTGTTGCCAGGCGATAATGAATAAATGCAGTTTCATAATCAACTTCGGTGCCAAAACCATAGAAATGATAATCGCCAAGTTTTAGTCTAGCAACAGTGTAACCTATCAAGAAAATAAAATCTATGAAAGAACTTGTGAGTAATATTGTTTAGATTTTTGCATTCCTTTCAAGATGTTGCAATTAATGTGGAGAGAACAGACTTGCACTGCAGACACAATCTGTATCTGCCCTTATTCCTATTATTTAGAATGTGATTTCTAGGTTAAATTACTTCAAAAATGATGTTTTCACTTCAAACTGACTATGGCAACTAATACAACAAGAATATGGATGCAGAAGCAACATCTGATACCCCAAATCTATAAAATATACTTAGATTCAGTTTTCTATTAAAACATATGGTACATTATCATCAAGATCTGCTTTCAGCTATTAAACAAGTACTGCTACAACTCCTTAGTATGATCAAAAACCATCCACAACAGCTCAGTTCTTGAGATTACTGCTAGGAAACTGGACTAAATTCTGAAATGACTGACCTTGTGAGGCTGCTCTGTTCCAGTGTAATAAGGCTCTTGGATAGGTTTCATTCTCTTCTATTAAGCTGGCTTCTTCTATAGTGTTGGGGGGAAAAGGGTGAGACAGTAAAGACCCAAGTCATTTCTTTTCTTGTCATTTAGTATTAATCATGTTACCCATTTTGTTGTTCTTCCAATGAGCAACACAAAAACAGAGATGAACGGAACTTGAACCCGAATTATTATTATTTATTTTTATTTATATATATGTATATATATATATGTGTGTATATGTGTATATATGTGTATGTATATATATATATTAGTTTTTATAGGATTAGGAATAGTGTGGGGTTGGGGTTAGGATTTTTTAAAATAACATTCTTAATATTTAGCAAACAGCATGATGTCCGGGTTCATGTATTTTCCAAAAACAATGAATAGTAATTATCATAAACAATATGTTAATTAATTGCTCAATAGTCTTCTTCTTACTAGTATATATTCAAAGTTACATATCACATTCCTTTCTCTCTAACTCGCTTTTCTAGCCATTGATAAAAATTATCCTATGTTCTAAAATACACTGAATCTTCTTTCTCTTTTATCTTTAAAGTCAATCTATTCAATTCTGCACACTCTAAAATTTTCTTAATTCATTCTTCTTCAGTTGGTAAATTTTCATTTTTCCAATATTGGGCAAATACAATTCTTGCTGCAGTTAGTACATGTAAAATTAAATATATATACAGTCTTTCTCATAATTTGCTCCTATTATTCCTAACAAAAATAATTCTGGCTTAAAGTCTATTTGTTTCTTAGTCATTTTCTCCAACCATAAGTGTATTTTTGACCAAAATATTTTAGCTTTAGGGCATGTCCACCAGATATGGTAATAAGTACCTGGTTTTTGTTTGCATTTCCAACACTTGTTTGAAGTATTTTTTAAACATTTTTGCTAATTTCACTGGTGTTAAATGCCATCTGTAAAATATTTTATATAAATTTTCTTTATATGCCACTGCTTTTGTTAATTTAGCATAAATTAACTAAAAAAATGAAAAAAATGACCCCCCCCCAAATTATTTCAACTCGTAATCAGTATCCTTGTTTGCAAGCATGTTAATCAGCTGAGGAATCATGGTGATTACTGGATTCTGCAAAGTTAAAGCCCAGTAAAGTTAGAGCTCACTAGTTGTCTCAGATGCCTGGACAAAAGATTCATCATGATTGTATTTTATTATGAAAAAAGGCTAAAAACATAAAATAAAAATAATATGTCCAACGTGCATAAACTGAAGTCTTGGATGGAGCAAACAAAAATTTCCAGAAGTTTATTTATTTATTTATTTATATTTAAACTTCTATGCCGCCCTTCTCCCCAGAGGGACTCAGGGCGGCTCACAGCATGTTAAAAAACAACACAAAAAAACATTTCCCCTATAAAACCAATTAAAAAGCAAATATATTAATAGCTGTGTCATATTTAAAATCTTTGAAAATTTTTAAAAATTATTCCCTATTTAAAGTTGTTGTATATTTAAAAAAAACACACTGTGGAAGGGAAAATTATTGAATATGTGACTGAAGAATTATCTTGGTAAGGTTATGTAATTCTAATTAAGTAGTAAAGAAAATAAATGAAACCAAATTTGGTTTCTGACTTCATCCTGAAGTCTCAGCTGCCATTTAATGGTGAAATACAACTTTCAGCTTGACAAAAAGTTGTGCAACCTGAATTTTAAGCAAACATTTTGTCAAATGTATACAAAAACCAAATGCAATCCAGAAAATAATGTTTGAGGCACATCTGAATTACACACTGGATTTAAGGATTATCCCTTTTTTCCAGTCTAGTGAAGAAATGCAGAAATGCTTGGAGTCTTTTATGAACTGTTTGGGCCCTTGTTGTCTGAGTTTAATTTATATTAACATTGCCTCATTCATATAAGTCACACAAATACTTCATATATCCACTGAAGTAATATAATGAGATTTCAGTTTATGAGATTAGCTTTCATAAACTGAATGGGATAGAAAGAATTAGAAGCTGATGCAATAGAAACCTACAAAATTAGACAACTGGCTAAACAGTCAATTTTTTTGCAAAGATAAAAGTTATCTAGGCTACTTCAATTTGATATAAAAGAGTTTATAGCACTAAATGTCAGCACTGCTAATAGCCTATCTGCAAACATAACTATTAATTTTTGCGGCACATAGGATGGTAAATACTGATAAGCAAAGAACAGAGGAGATGAACTCCAAAATATATGTATGTTAATTGATAGCTTAATGTGTTTTGAATGAAATCTATTATTAAGGGGATAAGCAGAAAATTTATGTTGGCTGAATCAGTTCAGCAGAGTTTGCTTTCTGTTGACAATATTAAACATCATCTGTTTATTTTATATATTTTCAACTATCCAATTATTTAGTACTGGAAAGGAGTATGAGTAACTGAACTAATTCTTGATTATCTTTTAATTAGTTAAGTCTACACATTCATATTATTCATTATTATTAAAATATAATAGAACTTATTTCCTTTATATATTATATATATATATATATATATAAAGGAAATAAGATGAATGCTTTCATTTTGAAATGGCATTTAAATAGAATTTTTCACTTGAGTCTGATAATTGAACAATCAAAGGGAAAAAAAGAAATATTTCAGTAAACTGTTTAGAGTTCTAGAATACTAATTTCAGAATGCTTTTGAATTTTTAATTTTTTTATGGGATTACGACTTTTGTGTGGATTTATGCTTCATTCATAATTCATATGAATATTAAATTGATATATCACATGCATTTGTGCATAGGCAAAAGCAGCTAAGCAAAA